GGCAGAGGCTGCCTCAGGGCAGCGGCCGGTACCAGGGATGGCGAAGCCGGCCCCAGCAGCCAGGAGCGGACAGACCCCGCCTGACCCCAGCTGCCACTGCTCCCCACCCAGCTGCCCGCCTGCCCGCCTGGGCGCCGGACCTGTACATAGCGCACAGATGTTTGTTTTAAGTAAATAAACAGGAAAGTCCACAGAGTGTCGTGTGTTGGGGTGACGGCCCTGGTGGCAGGCTTGTCTGCCTGTCTTGGAGCATCAGGCCTGGAGGGGGGGGCAGTCTTCTACCCCCTGCACCCTGACCCTGCAGGTGGGGAGACTGAGGCCGGGGCTGTCTGTCACTCCCCCGGCACCCCTCAGCCTGGGCTCAGCACCCAAGACGATGGGGTTTTCATGCGTGAGGCTCGGGCTGGCCCTGCTGGGCCACTGCTCCCTGCGGCCCTGGGGCTGGGGGGGTGGGGGGTGCTGGGCTCTCTCCCTCTCCTCCTGGCCTGGGAGGGCCTCCAGGGGGGATCTCGAGGCTGAGACCCAAGTCCAGGTAGGAGCACGTGCAAAGGCTGGAGACGGGGTCACAGGGCCCTTCCATGGGCCCCCCAGGAGGGCGGGGGGCGCGTGGCCAGCTCATCCCTTTCCTGGCGGGGGGGCTGCCAAGTGGCCATGTCCCACCCATCGCTGCACTTGCCTCCCACAGAGCTCCTCTGTTTTCAGAAATCGCCCCCATGGCCTCGTGGGTTTTAAAAACCATGTTCTCGTTCCTTACTGTCGTCCTGTAAGACCTTATTGTGGCAAATACTCGCGAGAGCGTGTCGACCTTGTGTGGCTACAGCTGTCACCGTTTTTATGCTCGAGGCCCCAGGCTCGGCCGTGGGAGCCCTCGCCGGCGTCCTCGTCCCTTCGGCTGGTCCCAGTTTCTGTGGCTCTCACTGCGGCCAGTCCCAGGCCTGCATCCGGACGCGGCCACTTCTCCAAGGGGTTCTGGCTCCTCTTGGGGGGTCTTGTTTGGCGCCCCTTCTGGGCTCTGGGCCTGCTCCCGGGCCCCCTCCGTGGGCGGAGCTAGGAAGTACCTGCTGAGGCCCCGGCGCCACCGCAGTGCCCCCCACCCCCCCCATCCCAGACGAGCCTGTGTCCCCTTTCCGAGCAGAGCCATTGGGATGCTGCTGGGCAGGGCGCCTGGGGGGCTCAGGACGGGCTTTTCTTTATTATTATTATTGTTATTGATCTCGGAGAGGAAGGCAGAGGCAGAGGGAGAGGAACATCCATGATGGGAGAGAATCATTGAACAGCTGCCTCCTGCACACGCCACACTGGGGATGGAGCCCACAACCGGGGCTTGTGCCCTGACTGGGAATCGAACCCTGACCTCCTGGTTCATAGGTCATGCCAGCCGGGCCAGCAGCACACACCCTAGACCGGGACTCGAACCCAAGACCCTTTGGTACTTGGGTGGCGCTCTAACCATCGAGCTCTCTGGTCAGAGCCAAATCTTCCCCTTTTGTGAGGACAGCCGTGACCTCGCTCAACATAACCCCTTTTCAAAGACCGTCATCTCCAGTGCGTTGCACCCCGAGCTGCTGGGGACTCGGATTTCCGCGTATGAACTCAGGGGCAGCGTCCAGCTCGAGCCCCGCGGACCCTCCGTGAGACCGAGACGCAGGAGCTGTCCCGCAGCCGAGCGCCGCCCCCCCCTCCCCCGTGAGTTCACAGGACACCTCGGCTCACCCCCGGCTCACCCCCAGGCGGCAGCACCGGTCCTACAGCCTGACCCGGTTCCGGTCCGTCTGCGCCGAGTGTGAGAGTGCGCTGCTCCCCCCACAGGTGCACGAGGGCGTTTGTTCTCCCAGGACGTGGGGAGCACAGGTGCAGCGGCCTCAACGCGGCTCCAGGGCCGGGGCTGGGGGGCAGGAACACACAGGGCGAGCCCCGCTGTTGCCAAGGGGCCCCGACACCCCAGCGGGCAGACGGGCGGCGCCCAGGGAAGCCAGACCCCAAGCTCCGCAGTGTGTCGGGGTCGGCCCCAGGCTTGGGGTGTGGCCTGGGCCCAGGAGCCGTAGCCCGTGGGGTCTGGGAAGGGGCCCCCAGACCTGAGTCCCAGAGGGACTGTGGCCCTGGGCAGGCCAGCAGCCAGGGCAGATCCTGCTCTCAGCCACTGGGTGGCACTGGGTGTCCCCCCAGGGGGAGCAGGTGAGGTGCAGCAGGCCACCCTTGCAGCTGTGGGCAAACTACAGCCCGCAGCCCGTTTGAAATGAATAAAACTAAAAAAAAAAAAAAAGACCGTACCCTTTTATGTAATGATGGTTACTTTGAATTTATGTTAGTTCACACAAACACCCCATCCATGCTTTTGTTCCGGCCCTCGGTCCAGTTTAAGAACCCATTGTGGCCCTCGAGTCAAAAAGTTTGCCCACCCCTGCTCTAGGGCGTGTGGGTTGGCGGTTCCCAGACCCTCCCTCAGCTGGAGGAGGGCCAACCCCATGGTCAGGGGCCATGGCTTCGAACCCCTTCCCGTGAGGCTGCGAGGGAGAGACGTGCCTGGCTGCTTGGTGGGGTCAGCCGGGTGGACACTGAGCCAGGCCGGTCTCCCCAGGACTCGGCTGGGATGGGGGCCCCGCCCTGGGCAGGGGGGTCTGCCCGATGGAGCTCAGTGGGTGGAGGCACCCTTTCGGGGGGCTGACCCTCTTGTAAGGCAGGCAGATGGGGAAACTGAGGCTGGGGCCAGGCTGATTGCTTCTCCTGCCCACTCCCCAGCTTTCTGGGCTGGGGGTCCCCGACCGACACGGGGATGTTCACGGGGGTGTGTGTGTGTGTGAAGATCCAGAGCTGCCCCCTCCCAGGCTGACACCCCTTTCCCGGCCTCCCAGTCCACTGGTCATGGCCTCCACCCCCCTGCACCCCCATGAGGCACTCAGACCC